TACATACATTTATTCGCGAGTATGTATATATGTATGTATGTATGCAGATATAGACATAGATGTATAGATACACAGACAGGTGTGTGTGTGTGTGTTTCATGCACATGCACACACTCGCACACACACACGCTCACACGAGCGCTCGCAGACAGGGAGGCAGAAAGAAAGAGAGAAAGGTGGAGGAGATAGAGAGAGAGAGAGAGAGAGAGAGAGAGAGAGAGAGAGAGAGAGAGAGAGAGAGAGAGAGAGGGTGAAGAAGGAAAAAGGAGAGGAGAGGGAGGGAGGGAGCGGGAGAAGGGGAAAAAAACAGACAGATAGGGATAGAACGAATGAACTTCAATAGCACATAATAATATCAACAACCATAAAGAAAAATAAATAAATAAATAACACAAATAAAAAATAAAAAAAGTTAAAAGCATCCCTAAATTAAAAGCATCAGTCACAACGCAGATATTCCTATCGTGAAATATGAAAGACAACAATATATTCCGAACTCCTAATAAGGCCTTCAACACCCTTTACTTTGCATGACGTACGAGGCTTCATCATGCAGTAAAAACACTTGGCTGACGATGATGGCTATTCTGTAATCAGGCTATTTAACTGATAGTCTGGAGGTATAAGGGTTAGAGGAGAGAAAATGGAAATTCTTGGATAAGGAAATGGAGGAGGAATGATGTAGTGGAAGGCGAGAGGATAAGGAGAAGATAGAAAGAGATGGAAAAGATAGGGAGAAGAGAAGATAGATAGATGGAGAAAAGGGAAAAGGAGAAGGGAGATAGAAAGGAATGGAGAAAAGGGATAGGAGAAGAAGATAGATAGGAGATGGAGAAAAGGGAAAAGGAGAAGGAAGAAGATAGAAAGGAGATGGAGAAAAGGGAATAGGAGAAGGGAGAAGATAGAAAGGAGATGGAGAAGAGGGAGGGGAGAGGGAAGATAAGGAAAGGGGAAAGAAATTAAAAGAGAAGGGGAGTAGGAGGAAGGGGGGAAATGAGAAGGAAGATGAGAGAACGCGGAAAGAGAAAAAGTTAAAAGATAAGGAGGTGCAGGAAAAGAAGAAAAATGAGGGAATGGGAAAAGGGGAAGGAGAAGAACGAAAGCAGAAGAGGGAAGAGGAAAAAGGAAGGATGAGAAATAGGAGAAAAGGAGAAAGGAAAAGTAAGAATCAGAAAATGAGAATATGAAAGAAAAAAAAACGAGAACGGGAAAAGGGAAAAGAAAGAAAACGAGAGCGAGAGCGGAAGAGGAAAGAAAGAAAACGGAAAAAGGGGAATGGGTTTGAAGGGGGGACTGCATCATCTGTCACAAATGCCTTCCCGTCAGCGGAGCGAGGGAGTCCATAAATTGCCCTTCTTAGGAAATTGGAAAATTGGAGGATGTATTAAGGATGAAATATGGTATCATTCAATTACTTGATTAGTTCCTGGAGATTTTATTTTCAGCTAATGCAAAGATTAGACAGGAATGTCTTCGGTGGTTTCTTTATATATAACATACATACATACATATACATATAATATATATATATATATATATATATATATATATATATGCATACACACACACACACACATATATATGTGTTTATATATATATATGTGTGTGTGGTATATACGTACATGCATATATATATATACATATATATATATATATATATATATATATATATAATATATATATATATATATATATATATATATATATATATATATATATATATATATATATAATATATATATATATATATATATATATATATATATATATATAATATATATATATATATATATATATATATATATATATATATATATATATATAATATATATATATATATATATATATATATATATTATATATATATATATATATATATATATGTATATATATAATATATATATATATATATATATATATATATATGTGTATGTGTGTGTGTGTGTGTGTGTGTGTGTGTGTGTGTGTGTGTGTGTGTGTGGTTTGTATGTGTGTATGCGTATATATATATATATATATATATATAATATATATGTGTGTGTGTGTGTGTGTGTGTGTGTGTGTGTGTGTGTGTGTGGTGTGTGTGTGTTGTGTGTGTGTGTATATAGATAGATCGATAGGTAGGTAGATAGATAAGATAGATAGATAGATAGATAGATAGATAGATATAGATATATAGATATATATGTATGTATGTATGTAAATGTATATATATATAATACATATAACGAAACAACAAGCAAATAATCCATCATGAACAAGACAATAGTTCTTAAACAGATTAACACAACAAACCAATAAACAAAGCCACATAAACAACCCAGACAGACAAATAAACGAAATAAAAAAAAAAATAATAAGTCCATAAATGAAAAAAAAACAGACACCGATTACAAAAAAAAAGAAGAAAAAACGAGCGACACGTAATAAAGAGAGAGAGATAAATAGAGAGATAAATAGATAAATAAATCTTTTCCTCACCAGTAACTTCAAGACGTGACGGAATTTCGAGAAGATTCCCCTCCTTCCCCCTCCCCCCCCCTCCGCCCCTCCCCCTCCCCTACCCCTCCCCTCACACCCCTCCCGCCCCCTCCCCCTCACACGCCCCACCCATACCCCCACCCTCACCCCCCCCACCCTCACCACCCCCACTCACCCTCCCCCCACCCTCACCCCCCCGAAGGATTACACGCGACAGCTGTTCCTTAAATGACCTAATGCATATATTACCTTACCTCATCCTCAGTAAAAAAAAAAAAAAAAAAAAAAAAAAAAAAAAAAGTGATGAATTTCTGGTTATCATTATTGGTGTTATTTAAAGACCATCATTATCATTATTATCATCATCATCATCATTAGTGACTGTCATCAGCATCGTTGACTTTAATGCTTCATCATCAGCACCATTATCATTACCATCATTATCATTGTTATTGTTATTATCGATATGATAATCCTTTTCCTCATCATCATCATCATATTATTCATCATCATATATATCATATTATCAATTATCATTATCATTACATTATCATTATCATTATTATCGTTATTATCATTAATATCATTATTCTCATTATCATCATCGTCATTATTATTCTTGGCATTATCATTATCGTTATTATCATAATAATCGTCGTCGACGTCGTTGTCATCATCACCATCACCATTACCATCACCATTGCCATTTCCATTACCATCATCATCACTATCATCATCACCATTATTCTTATCATCATCATTATCATTATCATCATCATCACCACCATCATTAGCACCATCATCATTAGCACCATACTCATACTCATCATTATCATCATCATACTCATCATCACCATCATCATCATCATCACCATTGCCTTACCAGAGTGTCAGCAGTAATACTGTATTTATTATCCCTTGTGTATTAATTAGCAAGGACATGAACTAAATATAATACCACAGCTTATATAAATTATTAATAAAGTTATTCATAGATTGTTAATAAAACTAATTTTTTTGTGTGTTGCGTCATGTAGCACAAAATGTTCGTCTTTTTCTTTTTTTCTTTTTTAGGTAAATTGTCTAAAAACAAACGTTTTTTTTCTGTTAATGCTGTGTATTCTGCAGGCAACCATTTTTAAAGTGTCTGTGTGTGTCTGTCAGTTATCTATCTGTCGGTCCCTGTAGCATATATAAGCATGTATATGGCATAGCATATATACCGTAGACATGCTTATATATGCTATAACTCCAAGCCACGTGTTTAAGACCAAGCCATCTAGTACTGACCAGTCTCATATCGTGTTTATTTCTACTTTCGTGTAACTTAAGAATAAAGAGTAAAGCCGTATGTTTTATCAAGATAGATAGATAGATAGAGAGAGAGAGAGAGAGAGAGAGAGAGAGAGAGAGAGAGAAAGAGAGAGAGAGTGAGAGAAAGAGAGAGAGAGAGAGAGAAGAGAGAGAGAGAGAGAGAGAGAGAAATGAGAGAAGATAGAAGAGAGAGAGAGAGAGAGAGAGAAAGAAAGAAAGAAAGAGAAAGAGAGAGAGAGATAGCGAGAGAAATCACTTTACCCACCAGTATTAATATAGAAGCTAGCGTCTATACCCCTACTTATATAACTATACATATATACGTATGTGTGATATACACATCTAATCACGTATTCATTCTCTTCTTTGCCAGGGTGTCACAGTCGCCATCAAGAGGATAAACAAAGACAGGGTTGAGCTAACACGGCCTCTTCTTATCCAGCTCAAAAGGGTGAGTATTCAGCTCTTATTAATGTATTTCTATCCCTTATTGCACCTGGTTGATAATGTTCCTCAGAATCGGAATATGTTTGGTGTAATTAGGATAATGATGGAAATTATATTAGGAAGGATAATTCTAGTGATACCTATAATGATAATGATAAAAATAAAGATAATATTGATAATGATATTGGCATCAATGACGATCACAATAATACCAAAGACGATGATAACAATGATAGCAATAAAGATGATAATAATTAATATAATGATAATGAAAATAAAACTAATGATGGTGATAATGAATAATGATGATGGTGATAATAACAAGTAATAATAATAATGATAGTAACAATGATGATAGTAATAGCAATAAGTAATGATAGTTATGATATGATAATAATAATGGTAATAATAGTGATAATCATAATAATGATAATACTGATGATATCATATGATAAGAATTATGATTATTTAATCATAATACCAATAATAATGATAATAATAATAATAATATAATAATAATAATAATAATAATAATAATATAATAAATAATATAATAATAATAATAATAATAATAATAATAATAAATAATAAATAATAATAATAACATAATAATAATGACACTAATAATACCAGTAATGATAATAACGGCAACAAGAACAAAAATGATAATGATTGTTATCATTATTACAATTTTACTACTATTACTACTAACAATAATAATATCAATGATAATAACAATACTGATAATGGTGATAATG